AAGGGGCCTCCCTGCTAAAGGTGGGAATGAATGAGATCCATGGAAAAAAATCTTCTTGTCACCAAATCTCTTCAGGACAATTTGTTCCTTAAAAAAAAAGAGGTCCAGGGATCATCATTCCTTAAAAAAAGAGGCTTTTTCATGGATTCAGCTCAATTCTTATAGAAAGAGAAAGAAAGAAACCCCCTCCCAAAAAAACCTCTTTTTAATAAATAATATAATAATATTTATTTTAATAATTTTATTATATTTATTATATTATAATATTTATTATAATTTTATTATATTTATTATATTGTATTATTTATTATAATAATTTTAATAAGTTGCAAAAAAAATTCATTTTAAAATTTGGAAGATCTTCGTGAAAATTTCCAATAGTTGGATCAAATCCAACGGGAATGTTCATGTGAGCAACGTGAAAAATTTTGGAATAACGGGGTTTATTTAGGGGATATATCTCATATTTAGGCCACTGGAATTGGCATTAAAACAGAGGCACAAAATAACCCAGGACCACCAAAGAAAATGGGAAAATCCAATGGGATTCTGGGTGGAAAATCGGGTTCTCAGCTCATTATTTTGATTTGTGAAAGTCAAGAAAATTGAAACGAGAAGAACTTTTGTCTCCCACAGAAACATTTTTAGTTTTGAGACTTTTTAGCGGCTAAAAAAGGTACCTAAAAATTCCAAATAGAAAACTGCATCATAAGGTCTGAGAATAAATTGAAATAATTTGACATATTCACATCAAAAGATGCATTTCGATCATTTTTTTACATTTTTATTCCATGGAAGGTGGGTTTTTTCACCTTTTTTTTTTACCACAGATTATTTTCTCCCTGCAAACCAGAACTGATTTGATCCTACAATGTAGAAAATGGGACATTTGGAGAATTTTAAAACCCCTCCAAACGATTTTTTTTCAAACCTTTTGCCATGATTCAGGGAGGAATTCTGACCTCCAGCAGCTGCCCTGAGCTGGATTGATTTATTTTTTATTTTTATTTATGTTTTATTTATTTTTTATTTTTATTTATTTTTATTTATTTTTATTTTTAATTAAGAAATTAAAATTCATTAAAATTAATTTTTTAATTAAAAAAGTCCCAGGAAAACCTGTTTAGAAAATACCAACTCCCCTCTCGATGAGTTTGGGGACAAAAATGCCCAGGATCAAAGCTTTTCCCACTCCAGTTTGGTATGGAAAAGTTAATGGAATATTCTCTGAAGGGCTGTTATCACCCCAGCACTGGATTGGGATTGATTTATTATTTAGGAATTTTTTAGCACTTTATAAAACACGATAAGAATTGTTAATTGCAAAATGTGCTGGAGGGAAAAAGAACAATTTGCAAAAATAAGTGTTCAGAACAAGGTCCAAAAAAATTGCAGAAATTGTTTATTTTGAGTCCTACGTGGATGAAAATGGATTTGATGGGCCTGAGATTGTGTGGACTAGAAAAATATGTATATTTTTCAGTTGTTTTTTTTTTAAATTTAAATAATTTTTTTAATTATTTTTAATTATATAATTTTTTAAAAAATTTAAATTTTTTGAATCATAATTTTTAAATATTTAAATTTAATTTTTTAAAAAATTCTTTTAAAATTAATTTAAATTTTGTTTAAATTTAATTTAAATTAAATTTTAATTTTTTTTTCAAAAATTCTTTTTAAATTAATTTAAATTTAATTTCAATTTAATTTCAATTCAATTAAATTTTCTCTCCAGGACTCAGCTGCCCTTTCATTCCCCAATGTCACAGGATCCCAGAGGATTATTCCCACAATGTCACTGTATCCTGCCCTTCTCCCCCTGCTCCTTTTACAGGCAGGAATGTGAAGTCCAGAGGTGTTGGAGGGAGCTGGATCCCACCCCACACCGCTCATCCAAGGTCATGGAATTCCTTCCCACTGACTCTGGAATCCTTTCCAAACTATCCCAAAGTCGAATCCCTTCTAATCCGACTTTTTGATATAAGTACAAATCATTGCTTTTTTTTCTCCCCCCAGGATTTAACATTAAAGATTTCCAAGGTTTTCGTGATTCAAGGCAACTGGGAATTCCCAGCTGTGGGATTTGATCCCGTGGAAAAGAGGGAAAGGATTTCTAGCCAGGACCTGCCATGCTGAGCTCAGGGGGGACACCGAGACAGAGCAACTTATTCCCTTTCTTACGGAGTTTCCATCTTTTCCTGAAGGGAAAACTGGGGTTTGAGCAGTTGGAATTTTCAGCAGTTGGAATTTTTGGGGGGAAAGAAGGATCCAGGGAGAGCTGAGAGCCCCTTGCAGGGCCTAAAGGGGCTCCAGGAGAGCTGGAGAGGGACTGGGGACAAGGGATGGAGGGACAGGACACAGGGAATGGCTTTAACTGACTGGGAAGTTGGATGGGATTTTGGGAAGGATTTCTTGGCTGGGAGGGTGGGGAGGGACTGGAATGGATTTCCCAGAGAAGCTGTGGCTGCCCCTGGATCCCTGGAAGCATCCAAGGCCAGGTTGGAGCAACCTGGGATAATGAAAGTTGTCCCTTCCACCCAAACCATTCCAGGATTCCCTAATTCTCTGATTCTATAATTATTTGGTCCAAATCCCCATTAAAAAGAAACCTGGGAGATACTGCAAAGCTCCTCTTCTTTTCCCCAAGGGCAAAGCCTTTTCCCAAAGGACAATTCCCAAAGGACAAGGCTCTGCAAAGGAATCCTGCTGTGTCTGGCAGTGTCTATCCCTCATTTACTGTGGAAACAATGTGGGAAAGCTGCTCCTGGATCTCTGGCATTGCCTGGGAATGGTGCACAGGGAGCAAAGGGAATGTTCATTTTTCCATCTTTATTTCTTTATTGTGTTTTTAAGAGTCAAAAGGTCACCTTTTGATGGGCCATTTCACGGTCATTTCCAGAGGAATATAGAATTTCTTTTTCCTTATCATTTTCAGGGAGAAATTCCTCAGATCTCCACTAAAAGTTCAATTCCCATGGGAAAAAAAAAGTGCATTTGAAAGGGAAACTGATCTCCAGCATCATTTCACTGGAATTCCCTAATTTCTGGCTTTAAAACTTGGAGTGTTTCCTAAACAGTAGCAGTTCCCTGTCAATGGGGTGGTTCACTGAGAGGGCAATTTAATAAATTCATTTAATCTAATTCTAAGTGGACATCCAAAATCCTAAAGGGTGACTCAATTATTTTATCTAATCCCAAGTTAGGCAAGTCAGGATTAGAGGAGTGACCCCAAATTCTCTGAAAACTTGTTTCTGAAATGACCCTGGAAAGGAAGAGGAGGAGGAGAAGGAGAAGGAGAAGGAGAAGGAGAAGGAGAAGGAGAAGGAGAAGGAGAAGGAGGAGAAGGAGAAGGAGAAGGAGGAGTCTTGTGCCCTTTGGAGGAATCCTTGGGGCAGGACCTGGAAGCAGCAGGTCATTGAGGAACTCTGTGAATTTTTTCCCAAGTTTCTCTCTGCCTCCCAAAACACACCATTCCTTTGTGTTGGGTTTTTCTGGCAAACCAAAGGGGGTTTTCCTGCCTCACTCCCAGGAAGCCCCAGGCTGTTGCTGTGAACCCAAGTGATGCATTCCAGGCCAAGAGAAATGAATTCCAAGCCTATGAATGATCCAGCCTTGGCCCTTGGCTGGGCAGTGGTCAGCCCTGAGCACAGCCCAACCTTCCTGCAGCTTCCCTGCAGAGGAAAAACAAGTTTCCTGCTGGGATCAGTGGGAATAAAACGGGCTCCTTTGAGGATACAACAGGTCTGAACACCCTCAGATCAAATAATATTCAGCTCTGACCTCTGTGTTGAGCAGAGCCCACAGTGACTGTGCTCCCACTCTCCATCCACTCCACTCTTCATTCCCGTGGAAATGGCCTTGGCTGCTCATTTTCTGCCCAAATCCAACCAGCTGATTTTGGGGAACGTCCTCTCCCAGCATCCCAAAAAACCCCCCAGCCCATTCCCCGACTGCCAGGACACCTACTTTGACCGAAGCAGGGTTGAACTCCACTTCTTTTTTGGGTTCTGGTTCTGCCGGTTTAGGCGCCGGTTTGGGTTCTTCTTTCTTAGGCTCGGCCTTCTTAGGCTCGGGTTTTTTCGGGGCCATGCCGGGGCTGCCTTGGGAAGGGGCAGGAGGAGCGGGGCGGAGGTGAGGAGGAGGCGCTGCCGCGGGATGAACCCAGCACACGCGGGGCTTTATCCCTGTCCCCTCCCGGGGCTTTATCCCTGTCCCCTCCCGCAGTGCCAGCCCCGTCACATGCCCCCCCTGGCACAATGGGGGCACTGCTATAAAAGGACAAGACGCTGCCCGGCTATTTTGGAGCCCCCCGGCCCCGGCATTGTTCCCAATTAACACTTCCATGGAAAGAGAGAGATGCTGGGGGGGTTTTAGGGCTCAGACAGGGGGGAGGTTGGGTTTATCCTCCCCCCTCCCCCGGTCATCCCGACGCTGCCATTCCCACAGCGGGTTTTTTGTTTTTTTTTTTCCAGCCTGGAAAAAGCCCCCCTTGGCCTTTGTGGTGCCAAGATAAGCCCGGGTTTATATTTAGAGCCGAGGATGCGGCTCCGTGGGAGGCCGAGCATCCCCAGATCAGCTGCGGCACAATTCACCTCTCTGCTCTTCTCCCGGGAAGGCGCCCGGGAACCAGAATTCCTCATGGGAAAAAGCACCTAAGGAGCAGGGAAACGCTCACGCACACGGGCAGGGGCAGCACTGCGCACGCTGAGATTTTCCAGACCTTTTTAGGGCTCGGGGCGCCAAATTCCTGTCAAAAGAGGGAAGATAAGGGTGTCCATTTGAAGCTTTTCTAATCAATGTTTATGTAATTAATTTAATCTAATATACAATATCAAGCTACCTAATATGAATCTAAATAATCTATAATATTCATTTAACCAATACTACTCTAATTAATTTTATTCAGTGTTTTCATTGAATAAATCCCCCCCTTCAAAGCAAAATGGAGTCAATAATTCTCAGATCTGCTTTCACTGGGCAGGGATATTTTCCACTGGCCCAGGTTGCTCCAGTTTGCCCTTGGACACTTCCAAAGATGGGGAAAAAGAAGAGAAAGATCCGAAATCTTCGTTTTCGTGCCCTGTTCAAAGTTTTGCTGCCTGGAAATGAGCCATGGATGGAGAACGGGAAGAGCTTTTTGCAGAGCCCAAGGAATTCCAGGGAATTCCGATGCCACTCAACAGCAGCTCAGGGTCTGTCCCCTGCACCTTGGAGAGATAAGAACAGCCCGGAATATCTCGTGTCATTCCCAAATTCCACAACTCAGCCACACTTTGGGGGGATTAGGGGGGATTGGGTTGTTATTTTTCCCCTCAGCTCTTCTCTGATCGAAATATATTTGAAATTTATTTGAATTTAATTAGAAATTAGAAAGATGATGAGCCAGAAGGGACTGAAAACTCACCCCGGGGCTGATCTGCAGTCAAAATTCAGAGTAAAGAATTATCACATCACAATATTATATGTTATAATGTTAATAAAATATTGATAACTAATGACAATTAGTGATATTAATATAGTATTATAATATTAAAATATCATAAAAGTTATTGACATATGTTTGTTATAATGTATATGATGTTTGTATATAATTTATATTTTATATATAATTTATATATTTTTATATATTTATATATAATTAAATGTTATTTATAAATATATATTATATATTTTATATAATTTAATATATTTTATATATTTCTATTTCATTTATATATATAACATATAGATATATATTTATATTTATATATAATTTTATATATATTCTTATATATAACTTATAAATATACAATTTTTATATATTTGTTTATATATAATTTATTTATTCTATATATTTATATTTATTATTGACATATTTATGAGAAATAAGAGTAAAGATAATCCAGAAGGGGCTGAAAACTCACCCCAGGCTGATTCTCAGTCAAAATTCAGAGTAATGAATTGTCCCACCACAATATTATATATTATAATATTAATAAAATGCAGACAATTAATATAATTAATAATATCAATATAGTATTATAATATTAATACTATAATGTAATAGATATTGAGATATTTATGATAAATAGGAGTAAAGATGAGCCAGAAAAGTGGTTGAAAACTTACCCCAGGCTGATCCTCAGTCAAAATTCAGGGTAATGAATTATCCCACCACAATATTAAACAATAGTAATAAAATATTAATACTTAGTTATTAGTAATATCAATATATTATTATAATATTAATACTATGATATCATAGATAGTTTTATTAGGAACAGGAGTAAAGATGAGCCACAAATGTGGTAGAAAAGTCATCTCAGGCTGATTCTCAGTCAAAATTCAGAATCAGGGTTTACCTTATCATAATAATATTATAGATAATTATTGGGGGGGTTCCAGGAAGGGAACCTGGGAGAGGTTATTATTATTATTATTATTATTATTATTATTATTATTATTATTATTATTATTATTTATTTATTTATTTTTATTTATTTATTTTATTATTACATTGTTGTTGTTGTTGTTGTTGTTGTTGTTATTATTATTATCCTACCATTTTCCTCCCTTTCCTATAATTTGCCACAATCCCCCCTCAGCCCAGAGTTGTTTGGATGGACAATGTGACTCAAATCCCCTTTTTCTGAGGAAAACAAAGACCTGGGAGAACTGAAAATTGTCAGGGAAATCTTGTGGGAGGTTTAAATTCAATTTAAATTAAATTCAGTGGCCAAAAGGTATCACTTTTCCCACATTTGACTTCCCAACACGAGTCTCGGATTCTTTGCAGATGTGAGGCTTCTCCAGCCCCTCTCCTGCTGAAATATGTTGGGTTTTGGGTTTTTTTTTCTTGTTAAAAATATTAAAAAAATAAAATAAAAAATAAGAAAAATAAAAAAAAATAAAAAATAAAGTAATAATAATAATAAAAAAAATTTAAAAAAATAAAATAAATTAATCTTTGGGTTTGAAACTTCAATTCTCACTTCACATCAGAGATGTTCCCTCTCCAAGTGGTTTTGCAACTTTTCCCCACTGAGGAATGCTGCCCTTGGAATTGGGAGATGGCCACAGCTGGAGCATCATTCCCAGAGAATGGGGGAGAAGGGAAATAAAAATAAGTGTTTTTAGAAGATTTGCAAGCAGAAAAAGCAGATTTAAATCCAGCAGATGTTCCTGTCAGCTGCGGGAGGGAGAAAACCTGAGGGGTTAAAACAGCACAAGAGAAAAAAGAGAAATAATTAAATATAAAAAGGAAGCCAGATGGGGAATTTATGAGAAACCTCCATTTCTCTCCTTATTTTTGTCACCTGTAGGTCTTGTAGAATTTGGGATAGTTTGGGATAGTTTATTTTTATTAAAAATAAAAAGGAAGCCAGATGGAGAATTGACAAGAAACCTCCATTTCTCTCCCTGTTTTTGTCACCAGTAGGTCTTGTAGAATTTGGGATAGTTTTGGATATCTTGGGATAATTTTCCATCTGTCTCGTGACACCTGAGGGATTAAAACAGGACAAGAGGAAAAAGAGTAATAATTAAAAATAAAATGAAACCACATGGGGAATTTGCAAGAAACCTCCATTCCTCTCCTTATTTTTGTCACCTGTAGGTCTTGTAGAATTTGGGATTGTTTTGGATATTTTAGGATGGTTTTCCATCCATCTCTCAACACCTGAGGGGTTAAAAGAGGGTAAGAAAAAGAAGAGAAATAAATAATTTAAAAAAAAGAAACCAGATGGAGAATTTACAAGAAATTTCTTTCTCTGTCCTTTTTTTTGTCAGCTGTAGATCCTATAGAGTTTGGGATATTTTGGGTATTTTGGGATGGTTTTCCATCCATCTTGTGACACCTGAGGGGTTAA